CCTGGTTTGGGAGGATCCCACATGCCGCGGAGCAACTAGGCCCGTGAGCCACAACTACTGAGCCTGCGTGTCTGGAGCCTGTGCTCCACAAGAGAGGCCGCGATAGTGAGAGGCCCGCGCACCACGATGAAGAGCGGCCCCCACTTGCCACAACTAGAGAAAGCCCTCGCACAGAAACGAAGACCCAACACAGCAAAAAATAAACTAATTAATTAATAAACTCCAAGCCCCAACATCTTCTTTTAAAAAAAAAAAAAAAAAGGGGATGCCCTGCAACCTGCCTTTCACCTCAGGTAATTCTGACTATGTCTTACATAAGATCGACTTACTACAAACATTTACATTATATCCAGAACCCTCCCTAAAAGAGAGTTTTAGCCTCTTTAGCACTGGAAGCATGCTTGAAGAATATTTGAGTGGTGATCCCAGTCTACCTGCTGTGGACTGCTCCTCTAATTATTCAGTGTTCACATACTCCCTTTTTCCCATATTCAAACTTCCACCAAATCTCAGTAGCAACAGCAACGTGCTGTGAAAACATAATGCACCAGTGCTCTATAGAAACAAAAATCTATAGACCTCTTATCAAAAGGAAGGATTCAATCTCGATCTTTTCGTATGATATAGTGTGATGTGATGATCATCCCTATGCTAGTTCAGTCACAATTCTAGTTTGATACTTTGTAATTCATGGACTAAATTATAAAATACACACACACATACCCACAAAGAAGGAATAAAGTAACCCATCATGGCCTTCGGTTCTGTAACTGGTTATAATTCCATAATTTGTATTGATTTTCTTCCTCCACTGCCAATTACATTCTCCCTTTGCCCTCAGCCAGAACCTCACTTAGTTGGCTTACCCAGAGTTTCATCCCTGAAGGATCTGACCTTTTGGTCATCTTGCCTCATGAGGTTGCTGTAGTATCCTATTTATTTCTGCCACTTGGACGTGTCAGAAATAGAGGGCAATCCCTGGCTTCCAGATGTAATCTTCCCTGCTGACATGGCATTGTAAATGCCTGTTTTCCTCCACCATAGAGGTCAATTGCACCAGCCAACACAGGAACTTCTTTTTTGCCATTGGTACAGTGGCATAAAGAAATCCGTGTAGCCAGGTGGAAATCTCAGCTTCCAGTTCACGAAGCCATTGTTTGGTCCTTTGGTCGGAACCATTTTCACTTGGTTATGTAGACCTCTAAGACAAAATCCAATGCCACAAGGATGGGAATAACACTTTGCCAATAAATCATTAGATGTAATATTGAGAGTTCCCAGTCTGACTTTCATACCTTGGCTCCTGAACCTGTATATTCTGGATGTGGGAGAAAGAGCGTCGGATATCGGTCACTGGTTTAGAACATAAGTTTCCTATCACTCAACCTTATAAGAAGTGTATTCTAGTTGGAACTAACTGTTCAAGGAAAATTTACTTCTGTTTTCAGTTCCCGCTTGATCCCAATTTTGTATCTAGTGCAACTACTTGATGTTGGAGTACTGCTGTGTATACCTAACCTTAGGTAACACCCAGTTCAGATGAGCAGCTCTGGGCGTATAGTCACTTGGTGTCCCACTATCAGGCACTCATTCAGTCATTACTGGGGCCAAATAGCATAAGCAAGGAGTTTTTCTTTTTTCTATAAAGGGTAATATTTACTTGTCAAGAAAGTTATGACATTCTTCCCAAACCCAAGTGCCCCCCCCCCCGTGATTGTCTCTTTAGGGTCAGCTACAGGTATACTCATTAGCTCCAGGAATATTGGCTCTTCCTGGTCATAAGGTCCATGTGGCAGAGCCTGTTGTTCCCCAGCGTAGACCAGCTAGAGATCTTACTATGCTCCTCTGGGCCCTTCTCAAAGTTCACAGCCTTGTGGTTGCTCAATATATGCATCTGAGTAGAAAACCAAAGAAATATATGTTGCCTCAAATATCCAGAGACCCATCAGGCATTGTATCTGTTTATTAGTGATAGTAAGTACATCTAAAGCAACATGTTTTTCACTTTAGGGGTGTATTCCAACATGCCTAAGACCCAGAAACTGCCCAAGTGTGTCAGGCACCTGAGTTCTGGAGTTCCCTCTCTGGAATGCATGTGATTTACCAGGGCCCTCAAAACCCCTGCCATATCAGCATGATGTCATCAGTACAGTGCACTGGCACGATATCCTGTGGAACGTTTCAATGTTCAGAATCCTATGAACTATTAAATAATGGCCTGAAGCCAGCAAGTTAACATAGCCTTAATAGGACAGGAAAAGTGCCCTGCTGTCTCCTAGGTGAATGCAAACCCCCAGATCAAGACCTGTCTAATATGCATCAGAGGCAGGGAGCTACATCTGGAACAGTGTAATTACAAACACCACCCGATGAATTTTGTGATAATTCACTGTTATTCTCCAAGATCCTTCAGTGTCCTGAACAGGTCAGATAGGCAAATTTATTGGGCATGTGGTAGGAATTTCCACCCCTGAATATTTCAAGACTTCAGCGTGGCACTGAGCTCTGTGAATCTTCCAGGTGGATATATAGATCCAAGCACATTTGGGAAGACTGAGTTTACAGCAATGACTCCCTAAACCAGTGGGTCACCAAGATAGCATCCCGCTGCTTCTACTAGGATTAAGAACGTGGAAACGCAGGAAGCCTCTGAACCAGCTGCAGGATAAGCCAGAACTGTGCCGCCTCTGCTACAGTCCGCGCCAGCAAAACGCATGCCCTGAGCCCGCTTCTCTTCTTCCGTAATGCACTGCTAAATCCGGTTCTCAAATGAATGCTCTGATTGGCAGAACTCAAACCTCATCCAAAATCCTAACTGCAGAGGAATCTGGGGAAATTTATTTCTAGCTCCTCTGTCCCTGAAATGCAGAAAGATATGCTAGAGTAGAAAATGATGGCGTGGGTGTTGGCAGGTCCTTCCGTGGTTTCCGCTGCAGTTGCCGCATGCATAATGTGAGCCCAGGCGTCCATGTCAGCCTCTCTCAAAGTTCCACTGCATTTACAAAAGGGCAAGTGACAATTAAAATGTAAGGAAGAAGAGAGGCCATTTTATAATAATATTCACAGAATTTTAAATCACCTTAATGGCTCTGTACTTAGTCTGCTCTCGTTTGAACCTCAGTCATACGGGGGAGACAGTCACAGTTCATAGCTGTATTGTGGAAAATCTCTTTGTGGTGAAATTTCCTTCTCAGCAATGTCCTCTAAAAGGACCGTATTAACTCTAGACAAATGGATTTTATTTCTAGTATTTAACTTCTTAAGGGTCAATGAATTACACGTATAACCTTCAGTGCTTTTACATTATTATCCTACATTATAACATTTAACACTTATTGGGCACTTGCTAGGGGCTTGACACTATGTTAATCAGTTTTGCTGTCTAACTTAATATGCACGACTCTATGTAGTGGGTGCTGTCCCAGACACTGTTTTGCAGATGTGTAAGCTGAGACATAAAAGGTTAAGTAAGTTGTTAGTACAAGTTAGTAAGCATGGAGTTGGGATTTGACTCAGGTGGTGTTGGACTCCAGAGTCTAGCCTACCCTGTCACATTTTCATTTCATCCCCATTCTGTAAAGTCCCTTTCACTTTATGGTGAAATTTTTCTTCTCTTTAAGTTATCTCCTAAAGATTAAATATTGAGGAAAAAAGGTAAACAATTAAAGCATCAGTGAAATACTCAACCGAAGTTTTTTAGGACTTAGGTAAAAGTACTGTTTTTTCAGGTACAAATTAAAATGTTGTAAAACATGTGACATCTAATAAGTCATACTGGAGAGTTACAAAAGATGGGAGTCTTCGCTAATTACATTGTTAGGAAATAACAATGATAAATAACTATGATTTTCTATGATAATAAATTGATGTGGTTTTAGTTTTAAATTTGATAACTTGATTTCAAAAATTATTATTAACAGCTAGTTATACGTGTCCAGATTTATAATAGAAATTTCTTTTGAAGTCTATAATCCATTCACTTTCTTAGTGTCACTGATTAACTTTTAAAGTTAAAGTATATTATTAAAATGTCAGTTTGAGAAATATCTATGTTAAGTATACATCGTAAAGGACACAGATGGCATTTCCTAGTTTCATATGGCATTAGTTATTTCAGCATTGTCATTTAAACATTTTACATATAAAAGCAGTGTCTCCTCAATCTGATTTTAAGCCCGTAGAGAACAATGGCAAGGCAGATGCTGTTTCTGTGTTTTGAGATACTCCATGAAGCCTCCTTTGTCCCAGATATATTAAAGGAAAGATTTAATGAAATTCCAGTTATGAGTTATATGCAACTTAATGTGAATTATAATCAAATGGCCTTTCTCCTACTAACTATAGGGGATATAGTTTATTGTCTCCCACAATCCTTTGAAATTTATTTAATGACGAGATCTTTTGCTGCCTCTAGATAAAAATTCAGAGTCCCACATTTCTTTCTCCTCACTCTAAAACATTGTGACTTTAGACTATTTTTTTTTTTTTTTTTTTTTTTTGCGATACGCGGGCCTCTCACTGTTGTGGCCTCTCCCGTTGCGGAGCACAGGCTCCGGACGCGCAGGCTCAGCGGCCATGGCTCACGGGCCCAGCCGCTCCGCGGCATGTGGGACCTTCCCGGACCGGGGCACGAACCCGTGTCCCCTGCATCGGCTGGCGGACTCTCACCCACTGCGCCACCAGGGAAGCCCTGTTTTATCATCTTCATTCATTCTGTATGTACTCTATCTAAATGATATGATCTTTTGGTTCTTCAGCTAAAACTTCCATTTTAGCACCTTGTCACACATTTCAAAATATTAACTGCTATAAAGTTTCCTTACTTCTATTATGATAATCTGTCTGTTTCACAGTTTTGCTTGAGACTGACCCAGAATTATGTTGACACTTTTTGTACTCCCTGCAGCATGGAGCTCAATAGTAAATTTTAGAAAGTGCCCATTAAATATATTTTGAGCTAACTTGATAGAAAATAGAAATCTATTCATTTTGATCTTTAGTTTCAGGTGCAGCATTATGTCTCTCAGAGTCTGGTAACCCTGGGAAGTTGCAGCTTGTTGAGAAGATCTATAATATCTCTGCTTCTGTCAGAAGTAAACAGCTTCGCTGATGATCTGGGCACCATCAATCAGGTACATATAACTTGATACTGTAACTTTCATTTATAGTTAATGCAGCTGTAGACTTTTCTTTCCCTTTCTCCTCCCCTCTCTTTTTGCCAGGCTGATATTTTAGTCGTTACCTTATTTCTAACGTACATGAATAGTGTTGCTGCCTGCTGAAATTACAGAAAGATACTTTCAGAAAATAGTTTTCAAAATAATGCCATTTTATCATCCTTACTGGTATATATGTGCCAAAGGTGTCACTAGTGATGGCAAAGGCATGGCCTTAAACCTCTCCAAGAAGGCAGTGTGTTCCTAAAGCAAAGCAGTGAGAGGAAAGTGAACAGGAGAGGATGATAAATGGAGAACAGCCTCTGACCAGTGGTTCTTATTCCTAATTGCTCATGACACTCATGTGGCTAACTTTAAATACTCTGTTGCCAAGCTATATGCCAATCCAATTAAATGGAGGTCTCTGGGGTTAAGACGCAGGTATTGGTATTGTTAAAGTTCTCCAGATGATTCCAGTGTGCAACCAAGGTTGAAAACAATGCTCTTTTATCTGTGCAAACTCTTATGTCACTGCTGACAAATGTGTCTAAGAAACAGAAGTCATTCCCATGTTCTAATGTTGACAGTGGCATATTATGTGTTCACTTTCTCAGCTCACTTAATATTATTCTTTCTGTGGTTAGAATTAAACACAAATAAAGGAAATCAGAGACAGAAATGTTTTGGTAAAGAGAAAAAATAAGAGAAATATATATATATATATATATATATATTTATATAATATTAAATGCTTTTAACCAAGTTCTTACATCTAAGTTCTCTATATTTAATAACATATTCCAAAATATTATATAATCTACTTGAATTCAATCAATGTCTTGGTAAATCATCTAGTCAGCAGTTTTTCAAGTGACTGTTAAATGGTGAACCCTTGTAAGAGCTCTGTAGATGTATTTTTAAAAAGTAGTTGTTACTGATCTCAAGGAGCTAAAAATCCATTTGAGAAAGAAATAAGGCACATTTACTAGTGGAAAAAAACAGTGAAGTGTTAAAATGCATGGTGCCGTTTGTAGGAGCTCCAAGATCAACGAAGTGATCAAGGTAGGTTGCAAGTGCCTGAAAAGATTTCATGAAAAAGGAACAGCTTGAAAAACGGATTTGAATTGAAAAGGAGAGAATACATAATGTTGAGGCGCTGGGTGTTAGTCTTAAAAAGTATGCTCAGAATTCTGATTCTGAGGAAACAAGGTAAGGTCATGGCATTAAAAATAGGAAGCAATATGGGAAATTAGTTTGATGGAATCAGATTTGTGTGGAAAATAACAAAACACAGAAAAGAAAATTTTATTTACATATTCTCACTTAATTTTTACCAAAATACATGAAGTAGTTATATTATTTACCTAGTTTATAGATAAAGAAGTCAAGCCTTAGAGCAGTCAAGCACCTTGACCAAGCTTGCAGAAAGAACATATGCTAAGAGCCATAATTCAGACCCAGGCATTCTGATTGTTAAGCCACTTTAGAATAAGAGTAACAATAACACAACAACAAGAACTAGTTTTTGGCGGGTAATATGTGTTATGCTTTACCCGAATTGTCCCATTCAATCCTTTTAGTAACCCTTCAAGATATTAGTATCCTTGTTTAAAGACAAGTAAACTGTTCATCAGCATTCTTAACAATGGATAACAGAATTCACTCCAGCCAATTTAAGCAGAAAAGGATACATGAATAGCTATGGAATAGTTGAAGAAGAGACTAGGCCGTACTTTCATGAATGACCTCCGCAACTACCCAGCTGAATAGGAATAGGCTCCAAAGGAATTGCTGCCTTTGCTGTCATGACCAGGAAGCTGCCTGCTGACTCAAGGAGCTACTACTACAGACACAGGGTCCATAAAACAGTCCTGCTACAAGGTACAACAGCCAGATATATGCCCTGTGTTGTCCTGTCTCACTGTGTGATTCAGTTTCAACTAATTCAGTTTTTGTCAGTGCGTTTATTTCTAAGCCAACAACATATTCAGAACCCTAGCATCAAGGAGGTACAGAAAATGTAGTTTTATGCTTTTTCAGCTTCTTTACTCTAAAAGGATGATAGAATGACTAATGATGTAGTCAGTCCAAGGTGTCTATCACATGTAAGGCTCAGAAATTCAGTAAAATGGTGGTAAGAGATGGCGTCAGAATAGGAGGGAATACAGGGCAAAGGGCGTGAATGCAGGGAAGCCATTTATCCAGGACTCTCAATGTAATAAGTCTTCCACAAGCAGGAGTACAAATAACCACTTGTATATAAGAAGTGTTATCCAAAGGACTCAAGAAAAGATTTAATGTGAAGGAGAGAGAAGAATCAGTGCAAAAATTAATATTATAAAACTAAGAGATAGGAAAAAATATCACTAAGAAGAATTAGGTAAATGGGAAAGCAATGCTTCTTTGTGAGCAGAAAAAATTGAGTTTGTATATATTGACTATGAGGAAACATTGAAGTAATCTAAATATAGGCAGATGGAAATACGAAATTAAAACTTGAGGGAAAGGAGGGGACATACATAAAAATTGGGGAATATCACTATATGGCAATCATGAAATCATAGTCAGAAAGAGAACAGGGACTCAGGGAAAAGTACTCTGGAATGGGAGAGGCAGATGTACAAACAAGGAAAGAAGACAAGCTTTATTTTAATATTAGATGTTAGCTGACTATTATAAATGTCAGGCTTAAATGATTTAATTTTTCATCAGATATAAACAGTAATATATATTATATATAATATGGATTATGCAAAAAAAATCTATGAATATAAATATTAAAGTCATACTACATATTTTTTGACTTTCCAGTTTTCTTTATGTCTCTTAGACATAGTCTTATTGTTGGACATACAGGTCATTGCTGTATACATTTTGACCTCTGAGATAAAACTTAACATTATTTTCTGAAACTGATTCATGGAGACACATTTCAGAAGTTGACTTGATTGCATTAACTGAATTCAACTCTTATTGGTGATTTGCATCTCAAACTTGCATATTAAGATGATTTTTTGGAAAAAGCATAATAAAATGTCTAATTATTTTTAAAAAATAAAATTTCTTGGAACTTATTAAAAAGTATTTAAAAAGTCATAAAGTTCATTGTTAACAGAGTAGCCTTCCCAATGTAAACAGCTAAAACTCTGGAAAAATATATGACAGAGTGAATTTCAGACAATAGGCAGTACAAAATTTCAATTCCTGAAATAAGGCAAGCGAACTATGTGAGCCCCGTGATTGCCTTGACTTTGGGCCTGGAGGCCCTTTCTGGACTGTGGCACAGTGAAACCTAGCCAAGTCCCAGCAGTCTCACTGAACTGATGGGGCAGAGACTGGAGTTCCAGAGAACTGATGCAGAGAATTTCTGGGTCGGAGTCATGGAGAGAAGAAAACCCTGAAAAGAAGAACTCAGGAAATTTGAACAGAGGTGTTCTGGATCATTTGTTGAATACTAAGCTGCACATGCGTAGGAGGACACTTCACAAGGCCAAGCAAAGAAAAACTACTCAGGAAAGAAATATTACAAAGAAATTGTGAGCTGCATAATGGCCAGACCTCACACAGTGCTTGGGACCATCCAAATTCTATCGAAATATAATGGCAAGACCTTACTCAATAAGGCATTCAGTAGAGACCTTAAAATGTTACAACTTAGCAGTACAGTACTTTACAGTCCTAGGAAAAGGCTATGCTGGGGGGATTCTAACAGAGCTTGGAAACACACCTTGAAGATTTCTTGCTGGTTCACAGCTAGATTAGCTGCCTGCTGGAACAACATAATACAGAAGCTCAACAGTATGATATCATTAATGTCTACGTCCATTCAGACATCATGCATGTGAAAAAGAAAGAATGTGTAACTCATAGCCATGAGAAAAAGCATTAGTTAATAGAAATAGAACCAGAAATGACAGAAATAATGGAATCAGCATATAAGGACAAAGACAGTTATTTATATATATATACATACACACACACACACACACACACACATATATATGTGTGTTAAAAGAAAAATGAAAAAAAAACCCCACAGAATGGGAGAAACTGTTTGCAAATGATGTGACTGATAAGGGGTTAATATCCAACGTATATAAATAGCTCATAAAAGTCAACATCAAAAAAACCAAACAACTGGAATAAAAATATGGGCAGAAGAACTGAATAGACATTTTTCCAAAGAGGAAATGCAGATGGTCAACAGGCACATGAAAAGATGCTCAACATAGCTAATCATCAGGGAAATTCAAATCAAAACCACAATTAGATATTGTCTCACACCTGTCAGACAGGCTATCATCAAAAAGACAAGTAAGTAACTAATGTTGGTGAGGATGTGGAGGAAAGAGAACCCTCGTGCACGGTTGGTGGGAATGTAAATTGGTGCAGCCACTATAGAAAACAGTATGGAGGTTTCTTAAAAAACTAAAAATAAAACTACCATATAACCCCCCTGGGTATATATCTGAAAAACAATAATTAGAAAAGATACATGCACCCCAATGCTCATAACAGTATTATTTATAATTGCTGATTTATGGAGGCAACCTAAGTGTTCAGCAAGAGATGAATGGATAAAGATGTGATCTCATACACACACACACACACACACACTAGAATACCATTCAGCAATAAAAAAAGAATAAAATTTTATCGTTTGCAGCAACATGAATGGACTTGGAGAGGATTATGTTAAGTGAAATAAGACAGAGAAAGACAGATATGATATCACTTAATTTAAAAAATACAACAGGGAGGGACCTTCAAGATGGTGGAGGAGTAAGACGTGGAGATCACCTTCCTCCCCACAAATACATCAGAAATACATCTACATGTGGAACAACTCCTACAGAACACCTACTGAATGCTGGCAGAAGACCTCAGACTTCCCAAAAGGCACGAAAATCCCAACGTACCTGGATAGGGAAAAAGAAAAAAGAAAAAACAGAGACAAAAGAATAGGGGCGGGACCT